AAAGCCTTCCAGTGCAAAAAGACTCCATTTTATTCTGTGTGATTCGCTTGTATGCAGCAAAACCATTTTTTCTGCAAGTTATGCAAGCAAAGGCATTAACAACCCAACGAACGAAACCACGAGGCAAAAAAATTATGGTTAGCTTCTGTAAATTCTATGTTAAGCTTTGAAGATGTTCAGCAGCTCAACTCTTAGCCATAGGTTTACTGTATCTGCTTAGGAACTAAGCCAAGGGTCACTAGCCAGTTACTAAGGGCCGGGTTTATAAGGATTTCTCGGCAGATTGTTTTGGGAGTGGAATTTCTAAGGTTTGGTTCAGAGCTGAGAGTGTCTCATTAATCAAATCTCTATGGTTTGGTGACCATAATTAAACCGCTACTACGCAACTAGAGTTAAGTCAATATGCTGCTAATAAGCTGTCTATGTCATAAGGATAAGGCATTTAGGAAGCAGAAGAGATGCTGGGCACCTACGGGTTGAGGCTTCCCGAGAACTTCCCGATGCTTATGATTATATCCAGGTTCATCTTTTGCAGGGGAGTCAGATGTTCCACCTCCTTTTTTCTCATTTCTAGCTTTGTTGAAGATAACGGTGAACCCTTCTGCTGATGCAGGGTCATTTACATCCCATTCTCCAAATTTTGGCAACGGGCGGTCCTTGTCCTACATTCAAGCCAAAAGGGTCCAAATCCTATATCAGTTTACCCGGAAGAAAATCCAACAAAAAGAGCTTGAAAGCCAAGCGAACACGTTACCAGTAATATCAAAAATTTCATTACTAATATCTCGATTCTCTTCAGTATCTTGAACCGATATGTAACCAGTATACGAGCCTAGAAGCAAACAAATTTAAGAAGAAACGTACTATTTGCAAAGTGTGTGTTTCCAAAATGTAATCTTTCATGACCCAAAGATATACTATGAAACTATTCACATACTCACAAAACCTTGTATCCATTTCTGACTAGTTTTCTTCATAAACTGAATCTAGCACGGAGCTAAGAGAACACAAAAGTGCATAAATCAAGCTAAGATTATCCAACCTAAACTTACAAACTCTAATATTAAACAGAGAAGCCTATTACAAAACTCACAAACCCATTCCTCTAAAAGGAACCAAGAGATTTTGAATTTCAGTAACAAGAAATAACAACATGAAACTACGGCAATATTACACAGACACATCGAAATTAGAAATACCTAAATCAAAAGATATGAAGCGAAATTCACAGCAAAAGAAAACAAGAACCAAGAAATCAAAGGAAGGACACAAAGAATAACAGAAGGATCTGGAAAGGAGAGACAGATCGTACTGCCATGGCTTGAAGAAGAGATTGGTTGAGAAAAGCTTAGGCGCGTGGTGTTCGTCGTCGACTCCTTTTTCTGTCTCTTTTTGTTTTTCAGCTATGGAATTTAGGCTGTCGTGGGTCGGAAATGTCTTTTAACTGTCCTTTGATTCACTTTGTGGGCCGAAATTGTGAATAGCCTTTTAAATCATCCGCACCAATTTTTCTGTTTTTTCAACCAAATTATAAAAAATAAATCATCGGAATTGGTTATCCAAGTAAGAAAAGAGTAACTTATAAAAGAAAATTTAATAATTTTTAAACGTTGAACATACTAAACAGTCCTGTCATTAAATTAAAATTTCAAAAAAAAATCAGCAACAAAGAAAACTGGAGAAACTGGTCTGCAATTATCTAAACCTATCGGAAGATATGGAGAACGCTGCCTATTCCTCTGAAAATCGAGTAATTTAAAAAAGTTTTGAAGAGTCTATTTCAAAATCTTGGCAACTCATATCATTTTCTAGGATACATGACATTGCCAAAAATAAAGCTTCCATCTCATAATGCAACTGAAACATGTAACGTCTGAGTCCTCGAGCATTCAAAAGCACCAAACTTTTTTCTTTAAGACAAACTCATCCTAACCATGAAGTTAAGTATGTATCCTCGCAGATTCTTTGTATAAAAGTTTGGTAAAAATTATAATGATTTTTTATCTTTTAGATTATCAAATTACCATTGAAACTAAACAACTATAGTTAAAATATACAATTCAAAAAAAAACTATTTTGATGCAAATAAATATAGAACATAAAGTGGTTATCAATAGTAATTAATATGATATATTTATGTGGAAAGGCTTTAAAAATTTCAATTCCTTGAATTTAGAGAGTGTTTTGATCCCAAAACCCAAAATCGGGAGGATGTGTCAATCCCTAACACAGAGATACGCGGGAAATATGTGGTCGAAGTTTAGCCATCGAAGGACAACTTTACCTATTTGGGGATAAGCATGTGATTTACAAGCGGAATGAAAATAGATGGGATGAGGCATGATCAAAGAAGATGCGTTTGGTTTGGGATCGTGATTCTTCTTGAGTGATAGCTAACGTGTTGTACGTTTATGGATGGAACACAAAGTTCAAAAGATATGACTTTGAGGGAAGATCTTGAAGAGTTTGAAAAATTTGTCTTAATTACATAGATCGGTAGATTATGATGGAAAGATTGCGGTTTTGTGGAAGAAAAATGTGGGTGAGGAGAAGAAAATTTTGGTACGCTGAGATTTCGCTTGAAAGGTGCGACAAACAGAACATTGTATATTTGTATTGATAAGTTATCACTTAATCTACTTAGGAACATCTCACATGATTAGTAAATTTTCTAAGGCTTTCATTTGTATTCTTAATTTTATTTAAGATATTTGAATCGCTAAATTTAAC